CAGTATTGAGGATCAGAACTTTAGTTAAGATGCTCGAATCAGATTCAGACCTTAGAGATTGGACATGACTCTAGAATTCAGGCATTCAGATATGACTCTAGACGTTAGGATCTTCCGAGATAACTCTAGAGTTCTTCAGGTTTCACGTCAGTAATTATCGGCCAATTTCGGCAACTCGTCAAGAGATCTGTGTGCCTAGTAATCAGTCAGTAAGGTTATCATGTAACATTCAGTAATGTTAAATCTTTCTCAATGTTCAGATGCCGCCACGTAGAGAGCCCGATCATCAGGGTCCTACTCAGGCTACGGTAGTCGCCCAGTTCCGCGACTATCACACAGAGAAGTTTTCAGGTCAGGGCGACCCTCGTATCGTTGATGAATGGATTCAGGGGTTGGAGTTTATCTTTGAGGTTATGGAATGCCCCGATAGATATCGCGTAGTTTGCGCTCAGCTTCAGCTCACTGGCGATGCGAGGCTCTGGTGGAACGCCTACTGGAGCATGCGTCCCGGTGAAAAGGCGGGTTGTACATGGGACATGTTCAAGGATCTAGTCCGCGACAAGTACTACCCTTCCTATTATCGGGCAGAGATGGAGCGCCAGTTCTTAGCGCTTCAACAGGGCACTCGTACTGTCGATGAGTACCAGCGTGAGTTCACCAGACTTGCAGGTTTCGCACCGGATCTTGTTCGCACGGAGGCCCAGAGAGCTCAGCGGTTTATTGACGGACTTTACCCAGCAGTCCGTCATAACATTGTGGGACACGGGACACAGACGTATGCACGAGCAGTCTCTATCGCCCAGGAGGTTGACGTTAGCATCAGGAGGGAGGCCGTTCGTGATCGTGCTCATCCATCTGCCCCAGCTCAGCCATTTGCAGCTCCACCAGCTCTACCAGCTCCTCAGCCAGCAAAGGAGAAGAAGAGGAAGGCAAAGGGTGCACAGACTGACCGGAGGACCCGACAGAGACAGATTCCACCATGCGCGACTTGTGGTCGACTTCACAGGGGAGAGTGTCGTGCTGGACAGGACATCTGTTACTTTTGCCAGGAGCCGGGACACTTTGCGAGTCGATGCCCGAAGAAACTCCAGCAGCAGCCTCAGCAGCCCCCACAGCAGCAGCAGCCACGACAGCAGGCACAGAGACCGCAGCAGCAGCAGCAGCAGCAGCAGGGCAGGCAGCAGGCCAGGGTCTACGCGGTCGATCAGGCGGAGGCAGCACAGCAACCAGGTACCATGGCCGGGATGGTAGTTCTCAATGATATTCCTGTGTTTGCGTTATTCGATACCGGAGCAACGCATACCTTTATTTCACGACGGTGTCTCGACGCCATCGGAGCTTACGCGGTTACCGCTGTCGATCCTCTCGAGGTGAGCTTAGCCTCGGGACGGAAGATAGTGACTTCAGCTAAAGTTTCAGACCTTAGCCTTTCCATCGGTGGCCGAGTATTGACCGCCGACGCGTTCGTTCTCGAGATGAAGGATTTCGATCTTATTCTCGGGATGGATTGGCTATCTTTCTATCATGTGGACATCAGGTGCCATGACCGGGAGATTACTCTCTATCTTCCGGGAGACGAGTCGATTACTTTCTTCGGCTCCAAGAACCGTTCACTGCCTCATGTTATATCGATGGCGAAAGCCACTAAGTTATTGCGACGAGGCAACTGCCAGGGTTACCTGGTAAGCCTTGTTGAGGATTCTCAGAAAGCGCGGACACCTCATGATGTTCCTATCGTTCGCGAGTTTGTTGACGTCTTCCCAGACAAGCTTCCAGGAGGACCGCCCAACCGTCAGGTGGAGTTTTCTATTGATCTTATCCCAGGGGCCGGTACAGTATCCAAAGCCCCATATCGCATGGCGCCTAAAGAGTTACAGGAGCTTAAGACTCAGAT